CAAAAAACCCATATATCTGAAGAAGGCTGAAGAATGCATCAGATGAAGCATAGTTTGAATAACACAAAATAATCACAATAATTCAAAATTATTGATGTATTTATTGAAAACAGTGTTATTTACATACAGACAATTATTGTCATGTTTCATCACAATATTTTAGCATCATCAGGTACTAGTTGATTGGGGTAACCTTCAAGGAATTTTAAACTGAACCCTTTCTTTAATCTAGAAGGGTAGATTTGGCACTTCAGATTATATACTGAAGGCAAGAGGAAGAGAGGTAAACAATGTGTAAGCTACTAACAAGCTTGTGTAAATGGATGGCAGAACAAAGATTAGGAGAATAGTAAGGAAACAAACATTACTTAGAACTATGAAGGATAGGGAGCTGTGGAAAGCCATGACCACTCATGTCCTGAAGGGATATAACACATAAAAGAAGCACAAGTTGCCTTTTAAATGATCAAAGACTTATAGGAATTCAATTTTCTATATATTTTCCAATGAATAAAATCTAATCAGAAGGTTTCTTTGATAAACAACAAATACTGCTAAAATACTTGCAGATGTAGTTGTAGACTTACCAGGTGTTATTTTTGGACCATTTAGAAAATAATAATAACTCCCTTCACCACTTCTGCAAACTCAAGAAAAATATTTTCACAAGCCAGTGTGAAATTATTTTCTAAATAATGAAAACCTTGTATTGAAAAGGTTCACACCTCTATGTGAAATTAGATTTTGAATCCCCTTATGGATATAAAAATAGAAACAAAAATTCTCAAGGCTCAAAACAATTTCAGGGGCCAGTTTGATCTACATGTATGTACAAACACACCCACACACACAATAAAGAGATGACAGCCAGCAGCTGCCAACTAAACTCACAAACATATTAGGCTGACCATCATAAAGTAAGTCTGTCCACACATTTCACATTGCACTCAGAACACTTAACTAATTTATAAACCAAACTTCACTGCAAGGAAAATTGAACATTTTATTGTTATTGTATATTTCTGAGAAAAATATATAAATGTTATTTCAACTGATGTTCTGCTTCTAATTTTCCTCAGAAAATAACCTTTTTTATGTTTTATTTAAAAGATGTGTTGTTGTTGTTAAATGTTTGGAATTCTGACCCTCAGATAGCAACAAAAACCTGGGTAGATGAATCCCAACAGACTTTTTAAAATGAAACAGGGACCATAGAAATTTACATTATTCAGTGTCTTTGGAACCATTGCTAAGTATAGAATAACATAAGAAGGATTTCATATCCACAAAAACTTATAATATATATGGATATTAGTTAAAACTGATCTCATACTTCTCAAATGACTTTTGTAAATGACTAAAAGTTCATACATTAAAAAATTCAACAGATTAATTTTTAACAAAACTACAAAGCGACAAAATTTTCTGTCTGAATTTCTGGGATGAAGATTTATCATTATTTACATGTGAACTATTGTCCTCATCTTTGTTGTTCTTATCAAAACGTTTTGGCCATTGTGCCCACCAGCTTTCATCAGGTTCTTGTCAAACCAGGTAACATTCAAGTAATTTCAAACTCTACCCTTTATTTAATTCATGGGTCTAAATTGTTCTCATTTGCCTGACCATGTCTAGAGATCATTTGTCTAGTTCTTATTTTAGTCTTGACCTTATTTCTTGACCTGCAAGCAATGCTTCAACAGCAGCAGCAGCAGTAGAAAAGAGAAATCTCAGTGAATGCAATCAAATGTGTCATGCAGCAGCACTAATCAGCAGTCAGGTTAGGTTTAAGGCTCCAAGTTCTACACTCAAGAATAGATTAAAGCATTGGTTCATGAATTTGATGACATAATAATTGTGAGTTCAATCTCTGTGTGTACTTGGACTCAGTGGAAACATGGTGAACAATAATTGAGCAATACTTAATAAGAACTAGATGTGATATTCTTAGACATAGTCAGCGGAAAAGGCATAAACACACCTTCCTCCAGCTATAGCTTAAATAGCAGGGCAGACTGGACTCTCTTGCCTTGAGGTGACAACCAGACTAAGTGAAGGAAAAATGCTGAATTCAAAACCTGTCTGAATAGGGATGGGCTCCATCAAACTATAGTGCTCTACATGCAACAACTAAAACTACAACTAAAACTGTGGTATGTGTGGATTCTTTACTACCCTAATACAGTATGATACTTGTAATATCACATGACATTTAAAAAGTGTTCATTTTTTTTAAATTTATAAATTTTGTCAAAAATCATTGAAAAGTGTTGCTATTTGATTCAACTTGGTGAGTTAACATTGACTGATGCCTGTCAAGGTCAACTGCTATTTACAGTTACTATTCATTCTCTCTCTTAAGTACCATGCCCCTTCAGGATGTAGGTGATTATATCTCTGCACATCTTCCTTTTCTTTAATATCTGTAAATTTTGTATTTCTATGACTATTCTTGGGAAAAGTGGTAGTGTGGCGTCTTGTTGCTTTCTCCATGATTTTAAATTCAGTGGTGTTCTTCTAGACTGATTGCCCTACCAAAGTTAGAGAGCCTTGGCTACCTTATATTTTTACTCATAAGGAAAGAGATGAATTCATGCCTTTTCCAAAGCAATCAGTTCAAAGTGAATGTAAAAGCCTCAACTGGAATTTGAACCATTTTCCATGCTAATAACCATTATACCTCCCACACATTGTGAGTGTTACTACTATCTGTGCAGGTAAGGTAGCTATAAAAGATCATTTGGGTTTGTTATATTCATTTACACACAAATACCATTCGGAAAGGTATGAATCCACCTCTTCTTCCCCCATCTATGGGTTAATTAGTAAAATTTGTATGAATAAAACCATTATTATCTAAAAAAAGAAAAAAGAAGTTCTGTACAAAATATTTAGATTTCAATATTAAATAACCCATAGAGTTTGATATGCTGCTAAACAAAAATAACCAACTAAACATGATTTGGTGTTGTTGTAGTATCACTGGGCAATTAAGCACCTGACCAACATACTTCATATATATGAGTTGAAATCCAGACAGGTATTCATTTATGCATATCATGTCTTGGGCAAGTAGACTTGGCAGAGTCCATCCTTCTCCAGGTCAAACCACTGCCAATGACCTCCAACTTGAAGGCATGCCTTGGTCATAGACATTTAGAAATTGATTCCATTGGAGAACTCTCCTCCATGGCTATTGACTTCAGTCTAGGATGTCTTTTGCCCAGTGATGCCATGTCATCAGTGCAATTAATACACATCTATAGCTATGAAACCCAGTCTACCCCATTGTGCTAGATAGCCATTGAACCTACAAGAAGCTTCATCCACCCATTAACATGTGTTATTTTTAATCCTGCTGGGTGTCTACCCATGCTCCTCACCTGAAATAGCAGAATCAGTTTAATATACTAAACTATAATAAAAATAGATGGTTGGTTGGTTGGTTGTTTTGTTTAGCAGTATATCAACCTCTATAAGTTATTTAATGCTGAAATCTAAATATTTTTATGGCTTCAACTACAGATAAAATATATTGTTGGTCATTTTGCAATAAAATGTATTGTTGGTAATTCTACTATAAAATATATTGTTGGTAATTTTACAATAAATATGTATTGTTGGTATTTTATACTTTTATAGTGTTTTGTTTCTGTTTGGGGTTCACTATTTGAACATAGCTGAAACCCTAACAGCTGATACCACTCCACATCAGAGTGGACCTGAGAACAACAGTAATTAAGAGATGGTGCTACGCTATTCAAAACCTCCAATCTCCCAATCAGAGACCCTGCTGCTGGATGTAGTTTACACCCACGACTATAAAAGTAGATGGCTAGAATATATGACTATTCTATTGAACTGCTATTGAGTCATATGTGTCATATTCCTGAGCCATTAATAGATCCTCTTTTTGTATTTTATTCCAAGGTTATCATCTTTATTATCATATAAACTACAGCTATAAATTTAAGCAGTTTTTTATTGCATATAAGGTTAAAGAAAGCTAAAATCCTAGCATGGTTTGTGCATTACAAACCAATGAAGACTGGCTTTAGTTAAACAAAAAAAGAGGTTTCTGAGGTCAGGGCCAGAGCAAGGATCTTATGCCTCATACTGAATATGCATTTTCTAAGTGAAGTTTAGATGTGGCACAAGGCAGAAAGTATGGAGCATTCAATGGGGATGGAAATTACTATTCATTGCATATGTGTAAATAAAGCTAAAATCCTAGCATGTTTTGTGCATTATAAACCAATGAAGACTGGCTTTAGTTAAACAACAAAAGAGGTTTCTGAGGTCAGGGCCAGAGCAAGGATCTTATGCCTCCTACTGAATAGGCATTTTCTAAGTGAAGCTTAGATGTGGCACAAGGCAGAAAGTATGGTGCACTTAATGGGGATGGAAATTACTATTCATTGCATATGAGTAAAGAAAGCTAAAATCCTAGCATGTTTTGTGCATTATAAACCATATACAAATTTTATTGTAACCTTATTATGTCCCATAATGGATCCTATGTAACATAGGTGAACAATTTAACTAGATAAATTGAAAAATAAATACAATGTATCTAACTACAAATTAGAGACATGTCATAACAGATCATCTTAAATAAATCAACAATGCTTTGTGGCAATTTTTAACATCAACTTGTGATTTTTCTTGTTAAAATGTTGAATTATTTAACACATTCAATATTATGGATGAAAAATAGTAAAAATTTATATATTGTTTTTTTAGACTTAGCATGAGCTAAAGAAATTCACAGATTTGGATGAAAAAAAAAGAACCCAGAATGACGTGAAAATCTGTGTAGATTTTTTATCCTTTAATAGTCAGTTATGCTTAGTTCATTTTGTAATGAATTTAGATAGTACAAAGCTAATGTTGATAAGGTAGTGAGGGTCACAAAGTACTGTCCTGGGCTGCCAATCAGTCTTGTACCTGCCCCATTACTGTGTGATAGGTCAGTGTGAGTTTCTCTGCACCATTCAAGCTTATGGCCATATCACATTGAAATACTGGTTCTCATATGATCATCAAAGTTAAGCAAAGTCGAGCCTGGTCAGTACATAGATGTGTAACCACTTGGGAATACCAGGTACTGTAAGTGTGGGTGGTGTAATGGATAGCAGCACAAAATTAGAAATTGGTGACCCGAGTTCCAATTCCAGTTGGGTTCATTATATTTACTTATGTGCAAATACCATTGGCAAAAGGTATGAATCCACTTCTCCCACCAGCTATGGGTTAATTAGTAGGACTTGTATAAGTAAATCATTATTATTTCCAAAAGATTCCTGAAATTTAAAAAGTATTTTCTGGCTTTAAATAACCTACAAATGTTTTATAAACCATAAAAAAACAAATCAATCAATCTGCATGATCCACTTTTAGTTTTGCCTCTAATGGGTATATTGTTAATCTTTTGATTGACTACATTTTATTTCATGTTATGCCATGAAAATAGTTAATTCCTATTATGAGCATAACTGCAGTAAATGGGTAATACCTTCTTGCCTGTAGGCTTTGGCTAAACAAGGAAGAGAACTCCTGATGTCCTGTTGGGCAGATACATGTGTGATTATATATATATATATATATATATATATATATAAAGAAAGGGAAATATACTGAGAGTTGGTGCCCATAGAATTTCCTTTGTAAAGAAACTATTTTGGGCTTCATTTTACCTTTGTTCCAAATAGTTTCAATGCTATAGGCCCTTGAGAATGTTTTTTGGGGATGGTCTACAAATTTCAAACTGAGGAAAGAAAAAAAATCAAGTGCATTAAAATATGGATTCCATTAGGTTATTTTAATGTTAAATACATAAGTAAAAATAGTTAAATACATGTTAAATACATAAGTAAAAATAGTGAAAATGCATCACAATTTGTTCATATTTTATTGATACTCAATTAATATTGCCTGACTGATTTGTGTATATTTGTATTTTATTTGTATAGAAAATATTATGGGTACCAAATTTCAAATTCATATTTTCTTAAGTATCAAATTTATAAGGTGCTAAAATTGACAGAACCCTAAAATCAGCATGACAAGCTGTATTAGGAAAATATGTTTTAACATAGACAGAAGTTCGTCCACAAAATTAAAATTCTGTCATGTGACAGACATGTAAGAATATGTGGCAAAAATATAAAAACTTTTTATACTGGCTAACTGGTTAGCTGATGTCATCAAAATAGGCATTTTTAAAGATGCTAAAAATCAGGCAATTTTCAAAGAGTAATACTGATAATCCTATAACAGGAATAAATATGGTTATTGTATAGAACTAATCTATTAGGCTATAAATGACAGGAAAACTAATTTAGATGTATCTGTTATACTTTGTAAATGAGAAGCTCTCAAAATGGACAGTATCTTGTGCATTTTGGCATTTCAGCTATTTCCCATTCCTTATAAAAATAAAATTACATAATACACATCTAAGCTGTTTATATTTTTATAATATAAATATAAATAAATATAGTAAATATTAACAATTGTTATCAAGTTTCACATCTGTACATGCTATATGCCTGCAGCTATAAATGTCAGAAATTCATTGAATGCTTTATTTGGAAAAATGAAAATAATGCAATGAAATTTCAAAATGCTCTGAATTTAAAACTATTAAAAGATACAGATCTAATATTTGGGATTTATCAGTTAGTTTGATCAAGGGACAGCTGCGAACTTTCCAAGATTTTTCTGAGAGGGTCACCTGTGGCTGTTGTTTGATTCGAGAAAGAATGACCCAAATATAATTTTTTCTTTCTCATCTTTAGTGAGCCTCGGTTTTACAAGCCTAGAATCACAATGGTTATAAAAGTCACTTATCTTTCTGAAAGACATTCCCTGGATTTTAAAGGATCACTTCCATGAAAATCAAGGAATAAATACCTACTGACAATTAGCGATGGGTACTCTCGTTTTTTGTTCACCAGTTATGACAGGGACAACTGTGATTCAAACCCTTTGCTCTTTTTTTGTCATCTCTGGATTACCTGCTTACATCCACTCTGACCAGAGGACCACCTTCATGTCAGATTGTGTCAAGCAATTCTTGATGAGTGGTCATAAGTAGGACAACACCTTATAACCCTCAGGATAATGGTAACTGTGAAAGATACCATAGCATAATATGGAAGTCAATGCTGTTGGCTACTGCTAACCATAGCTTCTCAATAGACTACTGGTTAAGCCTCCTCCCCGAGGCTGTATATGCTATTAGAATGTTGCTGTGTACAGCAGCTATTGCCACTCCACATGAAAGGCTCTTTTCCTTCCCACGATGAAGCACTATGAGTACTTCCCTCTCAATGTGGCTTTCACAACCCAGAACCATACAACTGAAATGTCATGGTCACCAGAGTGAGCACAAATTCTCAGTATGCTCGAGTACACTATCCTAACAGGAGACAAGATACTATCTCTCTAAGAGATCTGGCCCCAGTGGAAAAGGAAGCAGGTATTGTAACTGCAGTACTTGCTCTGAATACATTAAGTGAGGATTCCACTGACAGTGTTCCCTAGTCCTTTCACAAGGATTTCCTAGAGTCCTCAAGTCCAGGATCCTCATGGTATGACTCTAGTTTTGACAAATGGTCACTACCTTAGAAATAGGTTCACCATACTACTGACGCTTCTAATTTGGAAATCGAACAGTCCAATCATTGAAGTAGATGAAAGCATGTCAGCTCAAAGCATTCAAACTCAGAAACTGAGGAAAAAACACAAGATCTGATATGGTTGAATCATCCTGACAGTCTCAAAGGACCCGCAAGATGCCCAGTCATTTGACGGATTTTCTTTCATATAAATAAAATAAATACTGGGGGAGAATGTGGTAATAAAATAAGTACATTCCCATCTCTCCTCTCATGTGTATCCATCCACTATAATAAAATAAATGTTTTCAGTGCTAAAGCTGAATGAAAGTTTTGTGACTGGGTTAACTGTGGATAAGTTAAACTACTGTTGGTAATTCTTTGCATGGTGAGAAAATAAAGTAACTCAGTTACAATGAACAGAATTAAATTTAAAGTTTCGTTTTTATTCACAAGATTAAAATTTGATGATTTATTGTCCTGCCATTCCACTAAAAAGAATGTACTACAGCAGTTTATACCAAATATATAAATCACACTTCAAGGCATATTTTTATTTTTTTAAAGTTCACCCAATGTAATGCTCAAAGTAAAGCGTTACAAAACAAATGGTAATGATGAGTGGAGGAGATGTTGGTAGGAAGGGAAGATTATGAGGATAAAGAGAAAAGATGATGAGTGACTTATGACTTGAAGAGGTCAAGGGTAAAGTGTTTGGGGAAGCATTGCTGTGGGAGCCTGTTCCACAAAGTGGCAGTTTTGGGGAAAAAGCTGTCTGAGTGGAACTTTCTTTTTAAAGTTGGAACAAGGGGGAAATGAGGGTGATTTGACTTTGCAAAAGTAGCCTGATATGTTCTAGCTGTAAATGACTCAACTGGTAAAACTATTAAAGAATGGAGCATATTTGAAATAGAAAGAGGGACAGAGTGTTGCATCTGTGAGAAAGAGGTGGCAGAGTGGAAAATAAATCTTTCCTCACAAGATTGTGTAAAAATTTTGAATTCTTTCAAGGCTGGAAAGTGAAGATTGAGTAACTTAAGCCCAGATGTGGTAGCAATACTCCATCTTTGGTCCAATTTAACTTTTGTAAAGATAAAACATGACAGAAAGATCCTTCTTGGAGAAATAGATTAAGCCATTCTCCCAGGATTTTTGGAAATGGATTGCATATATAAATTTCACTAGATGTCTGGAGTGAACTTGAGACCTAACAGATGTTCAAAGCCTTATTTAAAACGGAACCATTCATCATGGTATTAAAGGTCATAACAAAAAAATTCAGAGGACTCCACCATCGACTTATTTTATAAGTTTTCAATAATTACTTTTTAAAAATATATACTTCTTGATTCTTTACAAGATGTCTATTTTATACATATTTTTATAAATATATTTATATTGAGTTGGGTATGATTTGGTACAATATTCCCTTTCATTAGAAAGTTAACATTTTTGTCATTTGCCAGTAGTTTCACTCTTACATCACTAGTATGTGTCACTGAAGTGTGTCCAGATGTACTTATTTTTGGTATATTCTTGTTACTGTTATTCAAGAAAAACTTCAAGCAATAAAATGCTCTTTCTTTCTGGCCCCAACAATCATTCCCTAGTCAAATATGACGTTAAATCCTGTGTTCCACAGTTTCATTTCCTCTTTAGCTGTTACATCACACATATGCCATTTAGTGGAATCCATTTCTACAAGCAGCAATGGCCATGGAATGATTATAGCCATCAAATGTACTGTCACATTTAAATTTTTGGCACTTATATAAAGAATGAGATAGACAAGTGGACACAGTAGAAAAGTAAATGTTGATAATACAAAGTTGGAGATGAGGCCATCAATCATATGATAAATGCAGTTCAGAAGAAGTATAAAAGTAGAAATGATTGGGAAGGAAATGTGACCCACTGATAATTGTTTCTTATGTAGTAATTCAGAAAGTGATTATCTCCTTTTGACAGGGCGAATTAAGAGATATCTTAAGAAGCTCTTGAGAATCACATGACAGCCATTGGTGAGAATAATTAGTGATGGTTTAGCTCACAATGGAGGCAGATGTGAGATTCAATGGTGGTTCAGCTGACCATGGTGGACAGTAGAAATTCTCATGTATCCTAAATAAGAACATAAGACATAATCATCAAGGCTGTACCATGTTCTTCTTGGGGATGGTACAAATAAGACATTCTTTTTATTTGTCCACTTCCTATACTGCTTGTCATTTTTTATGTTCTAATTTATCTGTGAAGGACAGTGTATGATATATATATATATATATATATATATATATATATATATCAAGTATGTGGTGCAGTTCAATTTAGATTACATGAATCATTCATACAAAAAACAGATATAGAAGTTAATGATTTACATGGTGACAATACATCTTCACAAACAATTTTAATAAAGTACATTAACCCCGACCTGTATATGAATGTTATGATCCCTGTTTATAAATTCCAGTTGCATATGGTCTTTTTT